AATATTAAATTCATCTGCCAGTGAATCCGTATTCATTATGTAATTTCTCAATGACACTTTCCCTATGTCACTGTGTTTATGAGAAATTTGACAGGGCTGTAAGAAACCACTTTTGCAGGCTGAAGGAAGTCTTATATTTTTAAATTGGTCATCACCTTTTGCCACAAGGTTGCAACTCTAAACACACAGCCTATTTGTTTGAGTAGCATTTTCTTCACTTGACCTTAAATACAGTCATGTTTTAGAAATTTAACCCTTTGAAGATGACCCCATTATTGGGAAACATACATACTTTAATACTGACGAATGCAGAAAACAGGCTCTGTATTTTGGGACAAGGTGGCGAAAGGAGAATGTCTAGATTGTTTCAACCAAGATCCCTCATGAGAGATTCATGAGGATATTTCCGTTTGCCCTCAATGCGAATATACAGAAGGTAGACTAACATTAGAGCAGTGGGAAACTTGGCAGAACGGGGTAGGACAGGGTTTGTGCAAAAACTTTTTCCGGTTTCAGTTTGAATGGGTTCCCAGGAAGTGTCAAGTTCGAACAAATCCAAAATTTTACAATGTAGCTCAGCCAAAACTGCTGAGATTCACCTGATTCTGGGTCAAAACTGTACAGAGCACACTGCGTTTTATTTGGTGTAAAGCCAATTCGACTGAACCTTTCAGGCAACTTCAATGAGAGGCTCATAGCCTTGGCAAAACCAAAAATGAACCTAGCTTGATCTTTGGTTTTGAAACAGCAAGTCTGGCTTTATAAAGAGATAAAGGCAAGTTTTACTTAGCTTTAAGATTCTTACAAATACTCAGAAGAAGCACTGCAAATAATTAACAGTTATTTGGCCAGATTTACATTCCCAAGTCAGTTATTTCCTGAGCTTAACCAGGACACTTCAGTAAGTACATTAACTCTATTGGCACCATATACCCCTAAGTGCCGTAAAACAGAATCTGGTGTTCTGACAAAGAATAATGGTCCTTCCTCAACAACTTACATGCCTGCAGAGTGGATTGCACGTGTAGTAGGATGAAGCACAACTACTGCAGGCTCCAGGGTGGGAAAGAAAGAATTAAAAATAAAAACTCCAACAGCAATTGTCTACTGTAATGGCAGACACATGAAGGAAGAGTATATAGTGTTGCCTGGTGATTTCCACAGACACACACCGGCATTCTCTTGTAGTCTTGGACACCAAGGTCTTGAAGATCTACTGATGCGCAGAGTTCAAATCTGTTATCACTAATATTAGCTGAATGAATCCTTTAGAGATATGCCAAAAGCTCCACCAGTTTTTTTTTAAATAAAAGCCATATTTTAAAGAGTTTTCTAGTGTTTTATAATTTTTCTCAATATATGTAAATTTATGTATACATTTCTCCATATTGCTACAGGTTAGGATTTATTCTATAAATTATACTATGTCTTTAAGTACACATTGAAAACAAGGGAGATTAGATTGTCTTAGGTCACTTGGGTTTGAGAAGCTGATTAAACACTGACGAATTACAGCTAAATGATTACACATTTGCTCCAAGTCAATGATTTTCAAATTTTGAGTAGATACTCCCCTAAAATAATTTTTTAAATTATATATCTCCCTTACCTCCCACCCCCCACACACATTTTTAAGTTTTCTAAATGTTTTCATCATAAATTTAGGTAGTTGCAAAGGATGAAATTTCTGGAATATCATAAATACTGACATTTTCAAATGAAACTCTTATATTACTCATATAAACTTTCCCAGCAAACTTTAAATACTTCAGTAATTTGTTACCACCATTTACCCACTGATAAAATAACTAAATAAGATCCTCCTTAAAAGACAGAAATTTTATATTGTTCCTTTGCCCTTTGAATTTATTTCCCATCTATTTTCCCCAACAGACTTTTATCCTAATATAAAAAATATTTATGCTTGGAAGTCTTTTTATTGGTTATCCTACCATACTTCATCTTCTCTGTAAGAAAAATGTATATATACAAGAGGGAAAAAATGTTTTTTTTTTATTTATTCATGAGAGACAGAGAGAGAGACAGAGGCAGAGGGAGAAGCAGGCTCCCTGCGGAGCAGGGAGCCCAATGTGGGACTCGATCCCAGGACCCTGGGATCATGACCTGAGCCGAAGGCAGACGCTTAACCGACTGAGCCATCCAGGCATCCCGGAAAAACTGATTTTTAAAATGCCCTGTGACCATAATGCTCCAAGGGTTATATATTTTTATAGATGGAATTACCATTTCAATATTGGGTCTATTAAAATTTTTGAGAAAAACTATTAAATGTAAACCCCAAAACTTCCAAAAGTATATCCCTTAATGGGATGGATACTGCTTTCTCTTCTCCTATACTTAATTAACTCATGTATCATTGGGTAAGTATTAACTTCTGTTTGAATAAGACAAGGTTCCATTTCATTTCTATTTTTTTGTTGTTGTTTCTATAGATTTAATCACTGAGAAATCTTGTTCACATAAAAAAGTACATGAGAATGAAAGTAGTTTGGTTATAACAATGTCACTCAATTTCTTGAATGCCGTCCTAATTTTATGGCAAAGACTACACAGTGATCTGTCATCAAAAATTAATTTTAATGATCTATCAGCTCGATTAGGTCCTCTTTCAATTTTGTTGAAAGCAAAGAATTAGAAACCACTTGACTTGCCAAAGGACTGTAATGTAGTTATTAAAGTCACTCACTTTCTGTTTTGGAAGGTATATGAAAGAGGCTTTATTTACCAAGACTTGTCAAATAACTACAACTGTTCTTCTTTCACTTAGAGGCATTTCAATGAGTTCTACATATGCAAAAAGTATTGAGAAAAGTAAAAAATCTTATTAATGTTAATACCATTCTATACATTTAATTTAAATTATATATCTCCCTTACCTCCCACCGCCCACACACATATTTAAGTTTTCTAAATGTTTTCATTTAAACATTTAGGATTTATTCTATAAGTTATACTAACTTATAGTATAAATTTTTAATACTTTTATTTTATATTAGCATTAAATATATTTTCATTAAAACCTTAGATCTGCAGATTGGCAAAGCTAGTCTTTATTGTAAAACCAATTAGCTCAATCAGGCTTACTTTCTGGCAGGAAAAAAAAAGTCTGACTTCATGTGCCCTGTGACAATGGCCTTTTGAATTATAATCCTAAGACAGATAAATGAATAAGGCACGGAGCCAAGCCGAAGTTTGTCACCTGGATGAAGTAAGACACTTTCAATGATTTCTTTCTAAGACTCAGTTTTGTTTTCTGGATCTATATGTTCTCAGATTATAGTAGGGTGGTAAAAGAGGTGAGATCATCAAATAAAATTGTCATTCCTCCCCCTCATCATCAATCAACAATATATGTTGATTTCAGAACACCCCCTTCCCAATACCTCATCTATCTAATAAAACTCTTTGTCTTATCAAAAATATATGTATGACTAACAGGGACAAGGAGACTTGATTAAAGAGGATATGAAAGCATCAAAATCATAAAGTGCCCCTTGTCTGGCACCTTGAAGTGCCTGGGGGAATCTGCCATCATGCGACCCAGGATGGGTGAAAGGTAGGCCTTTCTCTCATCAAGTGGGAGGTTGAATAGGAAAAGTAAGATGGCCTCCTCACGCAGAGTCATGTCAAGGACTCTGCGCTTGAAGTGCTGTAGAAGCTGAGGATACAAAGATCGGTTCTCTTAAAGCTATTTGTGTCTGAAGACCCCTTGGAAAATCTCTGCATGCTCCTAGTGGTGTACTACTCCAGTTTGAAGACTAACTCACCAGCTATCTTGAACATTACCCTCAGGGACAGCATTAATCATTTCATCATAAAATTAGGAAAAAGAAAAAAAGTTCTGCTAACATGTTTCCATTCCCTCTGTTTTTTGGCAAAACATGTCACAGGCACAAAAGAGTACATAAAATATACACATGGAGTTTGAAGAAAATGACAATTCTTTGTGGTTTTAATTAGCATTTCCCTGTTTACTAATGAACCTGAATATGCTCACATATTTCTTTTTCAATTGAAATGCTTGCTCATGTCTTTTACCCTCTTTCTTTTTCTTTTTTTTTTTTTAAATCTGGGTTGTTTATCTTTTTCTAATTACTTTGTTGGCAATAAGATCTGGATACAAAATAATTTCGATACAAATCGCTACTCAGCTATATATTTTGCCACAAATATATCCCAAGTGGGCTTTTCTTTTCACTCTTTTTATGTTGTCTTTTGACTTACAGAAGTTCTTAATTTTAATGTGGTCACATCAGTTACATCTTTTTGGATCTATGTTTTCAGCGTCTTTTTTCCCCTCAGAAATCCTTCAAAATCCCAAGATCATGAAGATATTAAACGGCACTTTGTTTTCAAGGTTTATGGTTTGCCATGCCCATTTAGGCTTTCATCCGTTTCTGCATCTGAGATAGGAGTTCAATTTCATTTTTTTTTTAATACTACCTATTGAAAAGTCCCTCCTTACTTCCCCACCGATAGGTGATGCCAGTTATATCAGAGACATCAAGTTTCCATGCACACGTATTTCTGTTTCTGGGTAATCTATTTGATTACATTGGCCTATTTTTATATTCCTCTGCCAAGACTACATACACCAACTTTTTTTTTTAAGAGTTTATTTATTTATTTGACAGAGAGATAGAGAGCACAAGCAGGGGAGCAGGAGAGGGATAAGCAGGCTCCCCACTGAGCAGGGAGCCCGATGCAGGGCTTGATCCCAGGACCCTGAGATCATGACCTGAGCTGAAGGCAGATGCTTAACCAACTGAGCCACCCAGGCACCCCAAGACTACACTATCTTAATTTTCACAGCTTTAATAAGGTTTGATACATAGTAGGAAAACTACCCCCAACTTGCTCATCTTCAGAAGTGTCCTGACTATTTCTGAGTGTCTTCTCTATGAAGAACTTGTATTTTTACTGCTGTTGTTAGATTCCCCACCCCCCCCCACGTATTTTGTATTTTTTGCTACTTTTGTACTGGTATACTTTTAATTACATTTTCTCTGTACTTGTTGCTGGAATTAGAAGGAAAATGGACTTTTGTAAACTGGTTTTTATAGAATAAACTTATTAAACTCTTTTTCTTAATTTAACTATGAATTCCTAGAGCTTTCTATATAGACAGTAACACTATTCAGAAAATAATGCTAGCTTCACTGCTCTGGCCAGGTCTGCATGCACAGCATCTAACAGAAGCTGAGGAATGGCGCATCCTTTCCTTGTTCCTGGTCTCAAAGGAGGACTTTCAAAATGCTAAGGTAATGTTTGTCATTGGGTTTTTTCATATGACTTAGATTAAGTCAATTCCCTTCTCAGTTTGCTAAAAGGTTTTTGATGATGATAATGATATCATGGGAATAAATGCTTCTTATTCAACCACTGAGATGACCTTACTAAATTTATTTCTCTGTAATCTGTCACATGGTAAGTTACATTGATTGATTTTCTAATATTAAACCAACTCTGAATTCCTGGAATAAACTCAGCTTGTTCATGATGAATTATCCTTTTAATACATTCCTGGATTTATTTTGCTAATATTTTTTGTATAATATTTTTGCATCCATGTTAATGCATGAAAAGTCCCTTAATTTCCCTTATTTATATTTTCTACATCTGGTTTTGTTTCAAAGGTTATGCCAACTCATAATGAGTTTGGCATGTTCCCTCCTCTTCTAGTTTCTGGAAGAGTTTTTATAAAATTAAAATCATCTGTTCCCATAACATATGGTAGAACTTATCTCTAAAATTTATTTGGGCTTGGTGGCCCTTTCTGGAGAAAATTGTAATTGATTAAAAATTGTTGATGAAACTTTTTATTATTTTAAAAAATTTACTTATACTACTATGTTATTTCTTCTTAGTTCTGGAAAATTATATTTTTCCAGGAATTTAGTTATTTCTCCTAATTTGCAAATGTATAATTGCAAAATTATTCACAATACCCTTGTATGTGGTTAAATTCTCAAATAGCTATAGTTCTATCCACTTTTTCACTCTTGTTTTATTCATTTGTATCTTCTTTTTTTTCTTCATCAGTCATGCTGGATATTGGTCGTTTTATTCTTTTTAAACAACCAGCTTTACTTTATTGGTCCTGCATGCTGCATGTTTGTTTTCTATTCATTATAATCTTTTCTCTATTTTTTTCTTTTGTTTTTAGGTTTTTGTGCCATGCTTTTAATTTCTTATGTTGCATGATAAGTTCATTATTTTTTACCTTCTTTTCTAATATAAGCATGTAAGCCATTAAGTTTCTCATAAATACTACTTTTGCTGTATCATTCACATTTTATAACATAAATAATCTTTTCTCTATTTTTTTTCTTTTGTTTTTAGGTTTTTGTGCCATGCTTTTAATTTCTTATGTTGCATGATAAGTTCATTATTTTTTACCTTCTTTTCTAATATAAGCATGTAAGCCATTAAGTTTCTCATAAATACTACTTTTGCTGTATCATTCACATTTTATAACACAGTGTTGCTATTATTCAGTTCTGTATATTTCATAATTTCTACTATAATTTATTTTCTGAACTTGAGTTGTTTAGAAGTTTACTTTGAAACTTCCAAAAGTCTATGGCTTATCTGGTTCTCTTTTTGAATCCCAGAGTTATAATCATGTCACTGAATTCTGGCCCATGGAAATGGAGAGAAATAATATGTGCAAATCCTAGTTTCTACCAAAGGGAAGTTAAGTGCTCTCCTTCCTTTCTTTTGTCTTGTTACAAGGCAAATATAAGGGCTGGAGGCGGTACAGGCATCTCGGATCAGGAATGGGAAGCAGTATTTTGAGGACAGTGGAGGAAAGAGACAGAAGCAGCCTAGGTTTCTGACACCGTGTCTGCCACAGACACCACACATTTGGATTATTACACAAGAGAGCAATTAATTTCTATCTTGCTTAACCCACTATTGCTTTTGGATTTCTCCGATAACTGAAGTCAGGCCTAACTTTACTATGAAGGTCTGTGAATATCATATTAGTAGAAAGGAAACTAAATATAGATTTGAGAGTTGACATGAAAAACTGAATTTATTTCTCCAAGCTGAACTGTCTTACATTCCTTTTAAACTTCCTCAAATGACTCTTACTGTACTGTCTCTATCGCCTCTTCACCCTTGACCTCCCACTTACTAAGTTCACTAATTCCCGTCTCTAAACAAGGGCATCCATTTACCCCTGCCTTTTTGGCACCAAGTGCCCAATCCCTAATTTTCCAACCACATTTCTAAAGTTGGATTATGTCCAACATGCACTTTCTCTATTCCTACGTGCAGTCTTTCACCGCTGCACTCTACCCTGCACAGAACTACGACATTTGCATTCCTACACACCGCATTTACCAGCCACAAGCCCTGATTAGAAACCATTAATGGGGGCGCCTGGGTGGCTCAGTAGGTTAAGCATCTGCCTTTGGCTCAGGTCATGATCCCAGGCTCCTGGGATCGAGTCCCGCATCGGGCTCCCTGCTCAGTGGAGAGCCTGCTTCTCCCTCTCCCTCTGCCTGCTGCTCTGCCTTCTTGTGCTCTCTCTCTGTCAAATAAATAAATAAAATCTTTAAAAAAAAAAAAAAGAAAGAAAGAAAAAAAGAAACTATTAATGGCTCCCCATTGGCTCTATGGCCTTGCTACCACTTTAACTCAGAGTTGTAGGTAATAGATAGCAATGCAAATGATTCTTGTTCATAGATATGCAAATAAATGTTGTCTGGGGAGGTTCAATTAATTCCCTTCCTTCACTTCGGAAGAAGCCAGTTTTGCATCTATTTTAAATTCACTTCAGCACTCTAGTGCCTACCTATGTGGTTCTTTGCTCCTTTAAGTCAGCTGTAACATTTTACTCATTCTCTCATTAATTAATGAGTTAAATAAACTCAGGTGTTATGACTTCATTTTATATTTGTGTAAGAGTCATGATTTCATAATTTTACTTTTTTGGAAAAATATTCTTTTAACAAACCTTTTTGTTCCTTACTATCTTCAGAGTTTGATTACAGCCCCAACATGGGATGCCTTCTCTGGCTCTTTCTGCCTGACACTACTGATTCTTTGCATTTCAGAGATGAATCTAATTTCCTCCATCATGTCCTCAAACTACAAAATCCATGGTTTTCCTAGAACCTAGACCATGATGACGTCTTATTTTACAATTTTTTTTCTTTGTAAGAGCTCCTACAAAACACGTTGTTTTTCATTCATGTGGCACAGTGTATTTTTATCTTACATCATTAATTTATTTACATATAACGTCTCTCCTCAAAGTACAGGTTCCTTGAGAGAACTGATCACAGTTTTTCCTTTTCTCCTCTTCAGTGTCAACACAGTGCCAATAAATATCCACTGCTATGTCTCATCCATGGCCCATCAACTGGGGCTATCAATCTAGATTTTTTTCAGATAATTACTTAGCTTTATTTGGGGAATCAACCTGCCATATTTTGGCAGAAAGCTGGTTCCTTCCTAAAAAATTCACATTAAACTTTAATGAAAATCATAAGAGCTTTCATGAAACATCAAGTAAAGTACAATACTAATTAGAAAGGCTAGGGAAAAGAAATAAATTGATGTGGTTCTGGGGAATTTTTTTCCCTCAACTATTGAACTGGTTCTGTGTATACCTATATTCATAAGAACAGTCTTACGTGAGGGTCATATATGCACAGTTGGACCTTCATTCTTTCCTTCTACAAATGTTTACTGATTGTCCAATATATATCAGGAGTTTTTGACAGGCTCTGGGATGCATTTGCAAGTAAAATGTAATTTCTAATCCAAGAAGCTTACCTGCTAGTGAAGAAGGAGAGGGAAAAGTTGAGGAAGAGGGGGAGAAATAGACACACAATTGTGACCTAAGCATTTGGATCACTGGTGACAAGCCGTATCAAGGTGCTCATTATGATGAAAAGACCATCTTATTTTCATGTATTGTAACTATTGAAACTTTCACATCTCCTAACGAAACAATGAAATTTCAAACTTTTGCAGATTTGTATCACCATAACATATACCCTACATTCAACACTTTTTATGTTAATACCAACCCAACCAAATGTAGACCACCAACATTTTCTAGTTTAAGTGCTGAGTTAGTGAGAGAATAATAAATGATCTCGAGATTACTTTCAGCATATTTGATTTTATGAACTATAAAACACTTTACCAGTTGAATAGTCTACCAAGTGTATTAATCTGCTGTTTATAATGTCATATGAAGTCAAAGAACTTCATAATATTTGAGCATTAACATTATTACTAAGCATTTTCATTTTTATGGTTTTACTTATGATAATTATTTCAAATTAAAACCATCTTGAGAAAACTGCCACTGCAAAAAATCTCATCCATTTAATCAATTTTATTTTTCTCATGATGACTTTTTATTTTTACCTTTATTCCTAAAGGAACCCTTAGAATAAGGCAGTTAAGATCATACTCCATAGTACTTTTAGTAAAGAGATTATATAAATACAAAAGACTAAGAAATGCTAATAAAAGTTATAGGCTTTTGGTTGTTGTTGTATAATTTTCAGTTTTGCATGGCATACTGGCATAATTAAAATGATTAAATAAGAAATAATAAGCAATCACATAATGATAACCTAACATTTGTCTGGCCCTAAATATTTTCACATGTATTCTGTCTCTTAATTCTCACAACAACCTGACAAAGTAAGTTTAATTATTATCATTTTTACAGGTGAAGGAATCAAGAAACAAGTGATTTGCTGAATGTTGTATAAGTGGCATTTTGTATGCTGAACCCAAGTCCACAGACTCAAAATTTCTGTTTTTGTTCATACTTTTAAAAAGAGCATTTAATTCACAAGCCAAATCCTGTTGGCAAGACACTTCCTAAGGGTAAGTAAAATATACGTGGAAGAACACTAAACATTTTATTCACCTACAATGTCATCATACTGAAACTGAGAAGGTCAGTGTAATTTCCAAATGGCCCAGTTAAATCTAAGGAATAGATTATTTACCCACGAGGGTCTGGACACTGTCAATCAAAATCACTTGCTTACACAGGACTAAATGTGCTCCATTAGCATCTTTCCATTTCTCACACTCACAAAATAAATATTTTATTCTTTATTGGCCACATTGTTTAAAGATTTATTTTTTTCCTGTTCATTAAAAACATATAAAGAAAAAATAAAAATCACCACTAGTCCCAAGCCACTTTTAATATTTTGTGTGCTTGCTTTCTGAAAGTCTTTTTTAACACAAAATATTCAATATTTGCAACATACTCTCCATATGCCTGTATATTCTACTCCCCCCTCCCCTATATAACAGCATGGCAATATTTACTTTTGAAAAATATGACTTTTTATGGCTGAATAATCTTTCGTTGTAAGGTGGTACCATAATTTATTTTACCATTCTTCCAATTCACATGGGTTTTTATTACAAAAAGGTTTATTTATAAAAGGAATATAATGTATTATAAAACTTGAAAAAATAAAGAAAGGAATGAAATCACAGTCCTAACTCTCATCTAACAAGTCACTTTTATGAGTTTTTCTCAGTCTCTTCTATTCTTTATTCATATGTCTATCATTACACGTTATCACTGAAGTACACATGATTTTATTTCTTTTTTCAGTTTGTTTTCTATTATAAGCCTTTTCCGTAACCACAGTGGTATGCTGGGTGGAAAAGTCCACACTTTATCCAACCATTCAGTACTATATTGTCAAACAATAAGTTGTCTCCCCTTTCTTCCTAAAATCATTTAAAATAAATCATTTCACAATAAATATTGCAAGCATGTAGTCTTTACGTTCACGTACCTTATTCCCTAATGCTAGATTCCTGCAAGTAAGATTATTGAGAAAAAGGCTGACCAGCTTTTAACATTATTTGAGTACTGGTGAAAACCATGTACAAAAGGTATTGAGGTTGAATTTCTGAACTTCATATAAACAGCACCCCAATCTCAGCTTCTGATCAACCAGTCCTTTTAGCGATTGGGAAATACAGACACAAATATATAGGATATTGATTACATTTAAACTAATTACATTTTTCATAGATTAGTACATCTTGGTATCATCAGTCTTGAGAGAGCAGTGACCACTTAAATAGGCACATTTTTGTTTTTTCTTTTTTCACTTTAAAAATCTGTATCCACATACCTTTCAGGTATAGTTTAGCTTATTCTCCCCTTTGAATCCTAGATGTAGTTCTAGAAATGCCTTCTCGAACTGCTTCTTTTGGGGAGTGCTCTGAAATCCACCTCAGGACACAGCAGTAATTCTGACAGAAGGAGAAAGAAAATGCCCCAACTTACCGTTTCTAATGCATTTAGACGGTCCTGCAAATAAAGCATAATGCAGAATTATAAAAACAAAGCTATTAAAATCATTTCAAGTTCACTTAATTTTCAGATTTTCTACTTATCCTCTATTAGTAATAATGTTTTGAAAATCTCAAAAAATGAAAACTCCTACTCAGGATGATTTCTACAATAGAAGGAGTCATGAAAGAATCACTGTACTCCTCATCTCAGCTAGTGTTCGGACCGCAAGGTTTAATTTAACAGTAAATATCATAAACTCATATACAGTGACTAAATGGGATAAACCTTACGACTTTTGCATTGGTAAAATTATTTATCTACTTAAGGATTTATAAGTATTACATACATTTGAATATATGAGCAACTAGATGATAGTAGTGATACAAAAAAGGACGTTGGTACACATACCTGCACTCAGGTACACAGTATAAAGTGTGACTTGGAAAGTAAAGTTCATACATAACTTCATCAATTCAAATTAAGAAGTAATTTGTTAACTGAAACAAGGCAGGAAAAATAAATAAGAAAGATGTCACATGCAGGCAATCTTGAACCCAGATGGGCCTTCTCCATCTATAGTATCTTCGAAAGTTCTACAGACAATATTGCTACAAAGTTAAATGATTAGGTCAATGGTTGCATTCGCAAAGCGACAGCTGTATTCTCAACTCTTTTCAGAGCTGACAGCTATGTACAGGAAGCCTTTACCAATTAAAAGAGGCTGAATATGAGAGAAGAGAGTCTGAAGATTTAAGAAAAGAGCCATCAAAAAACCCGAAATCTTGACATTTGCAACAATGTGGATGGAACCAGAGGGTATTATGCTGAGCGAAATAAGTCAATCAGAGAAAGACATGTATCATATGTTCTCGCTGATATGAGGAATTCTTAATCTCAGGAAACAAACAGTTGCTGGAGTGGTGGGGGGTGGGAAGGATTGGGTGGCTGGGTGATAGACATTGGGGAGGGTATGTGCTATGGTGAGCGCTGTGAATTGTGTAAGATTGATGAATCACAGACCTGTACCTCTGAAACAAATAATACATTATATGTTAAAAAAAAAAAAAAAAAGATAGTTGGAAGGGAAAAATGAAGGGGGGGAAGTCGGACGGGGAGATGAACCATGAGAGACTATGGACTCTGAGACACAAACTGAGGGTTCTAGAGGGGAGGGGGGTGGGGGGATGGGTTAGCCTGGTGATGGGTATTAAAGAGGGCACGTATTGAATGGAGCACTGGGTGTTATACGCAAACAATGAATCATGGAACACTACATCAAAAACTAATGATGTAATGTATGGTGATTAACATAACATAATAAAATAAAATTAAAAAAAACTTACACTAAAAATAAGAATTTTTCCCTTGATATTAAGACAAATCCTTTAAGTAAGCTATATTTTGGATTTTTCCAGTATTCTGAAAGGACAAAATATCTGATTTATATATTCTGCCTTCTGGAATGTTCCAGCATCTTGAAATAAAAAATATCAATAAGAAAAAAGAAAATAGCCATCTTTTTTGGGAAGATCAAGGCCACTTTTCCTTCTTTTCTCTCATTTTAAGCAATGGGAGATGTGTGACATCTGGATTTCCTTTTCGTTTAATCAAATTAACTTTGCCTAAGAGGCAAAGTGGGGAACTGGTACAAAGAGCCACTCAGCTAAAATCTCTCGGTAAACCTACAGGGACCCAAGTGGACACAGACACTTAGGAGCAGCAAGAACTTGGCGCTCATGGCCGCACTCCCAGCCGCACTCCCAGCGTTACCTAACACATATAGGCCTTGCCTTTGAGGACTTCCACAATCTGACCTCCCACCCTCAGACTGGGAAACTGAGTTGAACATTTCTACCCTTTAAACATTTGGTTATGTGGGTACAAGTGAAATGAATATATTATGCAAAATCAGCCCAAAGCAGACTGTTCTTAGCAATATAATCTGTTTAATTGCATTTTGTTGGCATACTTGAGAGAACTTCACCCTCGCCCCCATAATTTTCATGAAATAACTGCTGTTTTGTTGGTGACTTGTGTACTGTCACTTTTGAATGCTTCATAATAAATGCATATAATAATGCCTCAAGGGGGCTTTGATCTGTTGTTACCAGGCATCTTATTCACAGTCCATCTGGGACAAAACCATTCAGCAATGCTTTATCATCCTTTGCAGATTGAACAGAAGAACCTCATTAGATACCTTACAAAGACAGAAACAGCCTTTGGGCAGTATCACATTTATATGAACCATCTTGGAAGGCTCAAAATATTTACAGCCACTATTTGGGTCTGAAGTTTTCCCCATACCATATATTTATGAGCTCATATTATTTAGGATTAGCACATTTTAAAAGCAAACATACAACTAGTTTTAAAAGCACACATAAAGCTAGTTTGAAATCAGAGTTTTCATATGATGTCAAAACAATAGAATTTAATTAAATTTTGTCTGTCTTAATTCAGATCTCCGTGTCTGGCAAAGATAAACTGATATAATTTCTGTATTAGTGTCTTCATTTTACTTGAATATTTGTTACAAGGCTTTAAAAGAAATACGCAGTCATGGACTGCGTGTTCATATCCTCACAAAATTCATGGATTGAAACCCTAATCTCCAGCGCCATGGCATTTAGAGATGGGACCTCTGGTAGGTAATTAATTAGGTCATGAGGACAGAGCCTTGTCTTCATGGTGGGATCAGTGTCCTATAAGAAGAGACAGAATGTTTGCTTCTCCTTTTGCTCTCTGCCCTGTAAGGACATAATGAGAAAAGATGGCCATCTACAAGCCAGGAAGAAGGCCCTCACCAAGGACTGAATCTGCCAGCTCCTTGATCTTGGACTCCTCAGCCTCCACAACTGCAAGAAATGTTTGTGGTTGTTTAAGCCACCCAGTCTGCAGTAATTTGGTGTAGCAATCCAAGCTAAGACATGTGCCCAGTCTTCAAGACTATGAACACAAATGGTCCAAGAAAACTCCATTTTGTTAAAATACAAAGATGAGGGGCGCCTGGGTGGCTCAGTCGTTGAGCGTCTGCCTTCGGCTCAGGTCATGGTCCCGGGGTCCTGGGATCAAGCCCCACATCAGGCTCCCTATTCCGCGGGAAGCCTACTTCTCCCTCTCCCACTCCCCCTGCTTGTGTTCCCTCTCTCGCTGTCTCTCTCTCTGTCAAATAAATAAATCTTTAAAAAATAATAAAAAATAAAATACAAAGATGAAGAAATGATTTACTTCAATGCAATTTACTTACGTCTTTTCATCTATAACCTACTTCATTCCAAATTGGTACGGAGATAGCTTTCTATGAAAAATGTAATATGTTACCAAAATGAGAAAATTAGGGCAACAGGCAATTCAGTTCATTAACCTGAATTTCAATAATTCCATTTGCCAATCAGTGGCAGCTAACAGAAGACCAGCCATCACTGCCAATTAGTGGGTTTCGTCTAAACTGTGCAGTTGTTTGGTCTTAATTGTAGGCTATCAGTAAAAAGAAACTACTCCTGATCTTTATGGACTTACTAACTTGCTTTTAAAAGTTAAGAAATGCTTTGAAAATGTAAATGGCTTACTTCTTTTTTGGCAGGTAAGGTTAGCTGTTATAATTCTTTATATATAAAAGAATTAGGCTACTGCAAATATTTATTCTCAAACAAGCTATGTCCACACTTCCTTTCTGGTTCTTCTTACTAAAATAGAGGTAACTTAAGCCAATACTGCGGCACTGACACAGTCCGTGAAACAAACGCCAGGATATGTCCTAGAATGAACACATAAGTACAGCACAGTAAATTCTATGCTTCTTCACCTCTCCCCCTCTCACCAGAAGTGCACAGTGTTTTGTGGTGGTTGTTGTTTAATTTCCAATTCTCATTTCAACAGATTTTATCTTCAAGATCAACCTGAAGGTTCAACACTCGCCCCCTCCCCCACCATGAACACACACTCCCACACTTGGATCCTGAAAAGTACTGGGACATTCAAAGGGGGGTTAGAAGGTAGGAGGAGCCAAGAGGGAAGACAGCCTCCAGAAATAGCCAAGATGACTTAGAGTCATGCTACTTCAGGTGGTTTTAATACATCAGTCGTTCTTATTTTTGTAGTCAGGGACTTTGAGAGCCTGATGAAACTTAATCTTCTCCCCAGGAAAATGTACATTATCCACAACATACACACAATTCTGCATACACTTTTAGGATAACTGTAGACTCTCAGAGGCCTTCAAGTCCTTTTATCCCCAACAAAAACACTTGAAATAAGATGTAAGAATATTATACAAATAAATCATTTTATTAAGTTAAATCTATTGATTTCTCCTATATGAAGTATTTCTGGATAAATAACACCAATAACAAAGAAAGAAATAATTGGGAGTGGAAGGTTAAACAAAATCAAAGGAAAAATACCTTCAATGTTTTGAAGAAAAAAGTTCTTGGGGGGAAAAATCCCATTTTGTTGCTATTGATTTTTTGTGACTATTCTTTCATTCTATCCAAGGAGCGGAACAGCCTAAGAAACACCTAAAATGGCAACAATTATTGAATGTTTACTCTAAAAGATTATACATGTAGTCATTGTATAGCCATTGAGTTCCAAAGTAAAGTGCTAGTTATTCTTTATAATGTGAGTATTACACACAATTTCTGAGTGTCAATAATGCTGCTAGATAACACACTGTAATTCATTTTGGGCTTGGCAGATCAAGAAGGGAGAGGCATATTTTAGAAGAGGTCTATAGCATATATACTATGAAAAGATGTATATTAACTTTTTATGAGCAGGTTAGTAACCTGCCTTGAGCTGTATATATGCCTTTTCTGCCTGATCACAGTGGTTTGTACATTGGAATTTATGACTGAACCAAGGCAAATTCATTAGCATCATTGGAGATGGGCAAATATTTGTAGGCTAAGTTAGAAAATGAGTGCTATATGGAGCACTGGTATCCGAATCCCTGATCATTAACAGTTTGATTTAGCAAAGCCAATCAATCATCCACCCCACCTAAGAGATGAATTAGAGGCCTTGTAAGTCTAAATAATCAGAGTTTTGCCTCTGGTAGTATATAGCTGAACAGGCCTAGTGACTTTATCACAATTATACAGCATTTTCCAAGAATGCTTTACATATATCCATTGACAAATGAAAATGCACAATACTGGTATAAGAATATACCAAGAGTCTCTCACTCTTCCAAGTCTAAGGATCTTTAAGAGTGTAGAATAATTCTGAAAACTTCTCTGGAACTGAAAGACCATGATGGACAAATAATTTTCAAAAACAAAGACCGACAATGGGGACTCCCTCCATTACTGTTCCAAAAGCAAAAAGCCTCTCTTCTGAAGGAAAAATCCACTTGGCTTCAACCAGAGATACCACTGTGTGGCATTTTTCCTGTCAATGTTAATTCTGTTTAATCAATACTCACACTTTACTTGCTACTTCCTATATAAGTGATAAAAAATGAAAAAAAAATGTGCATTTTTTTCTTTATGAATTTCTACAAGGCAATCCATTACATTTAAGACATTGTCCACCATTTTTAATAATTAAAAGAGCTCAAAACAATTCCAAGATATTCTTTTCTAAAATTCAAGATATTAAAATGAAAGAAAAAGAAAAGCCCTTATGAGTCATCACAAAAAAATGAATGTTCTACATAGTGATTTAAAATAAATTAAAATAAAGAGCTAAAAACTGCAAACCACCTTAATGTTGCAACACCAAAAAAAGTTTTAAAATATAGCCTAAGTTGACTTTGAATATACCAAACGAATCAATGATCTATAAGTAAAATCCCACGTTATCT